CAATTACAATCATAAATATTCATATTCATTTCGATTCAGTAGACTGTAGATTCCCATTGTGTGTAAAATATGTTATTTCTATAATTATGCAAAGTCATTTGTATGAGCGTAATTGATCCAAGCACAAAGTTTATTGTTGTTCACGTGAAAAATGATATAAAATCGGGGAATTACCGCATTTTTCAATATGAATCATTTCATTCATTTTTATACACGAAAAACGTTCCATTAGATGCTGTAATTACTATCAAAACATTAAGTTGCCGACGCAAATGCAATTTGCGGTTTCTCGAGATAAAGATTAGCAGCAAAAGCGAAATATAGATCTTAAGTTCCAGAAAAAACACTTAATAACAGATGCGTTCATTGTGGTAAAGAAAATTAATCCAGTTGGGGTGTCATAAAATTATCGTTACTATTTCACTTAGCCGCCATTTTGTATCTGTCAGCTTTCAATGAAAATATTTTTGATCATTACATTAGCGAAGCTTTTGAATTTCGTTATGCAACTGATTTTATAACATTTTTTAATGAAATCTTAAAAAAATTGCGTTAAAAGGAAATGGTAACGCTTCTTTTATGACACTTTCTACTTTTGTTTTATGCTTAAATCTATATGTAATTGAGTTTTGGAAACACTGATTTATGTGCAAGAATTAATCAAAAGGAAACACAAATCTGAGAAAACACATGAATCATTACTTTCAGTATTAATTGTGTATCATAAATATTGTAAGAAATAAGATTATAAGAGGGGAATGAAGTCGTTTTTCGTTAAAGGAAAACAACATAATGTTTACTGTATAGCAGAGATTGACATTCACCGGTTTCTATTTCGAACTAAGTGCATAATTACATGTAAATGCGAACTGAATCATGGCGTGCTATGATACAATTTACCCTTAGGGCTGGTGCGTGGTGACTAACGGATTGCACGAAACGCATTATCATCATCATCATCCAGTTCCTACGCTCGTTCCTAACTTTCAAATCCCAAACAAATTCCCCAGAAGGAATTACGTGATTTACGTGAATTGTTTTCAAGATCACAGAAAATAAGATGAAAACAGACAATAATAATTATATTCAATACCGTAGAAAATAGAGCGATCGAATGAATTCGCAACGAGGTAACATGATAATAACACATTTCAAGTCAAAGTAAATATAGAAATCAATAGAAAATAATGGCAATAACAAACAATAAATTATATAAGTATTTAAACCGATTGCGTATTGCTAATAAAGCGTGTAAAATATGTAATTTGCGTTAACACTTCTGATCCTTACTTTAGAAGTTTAAAGAGAAATACGGGCGAATTTGTATAGAATCGCGTTAACAATATGGTACAAAAGATGCGTTCCTGGAAAATGCGTTTGGGTAGCTTAGGTAGCAAAAATTTTACAATTTCTTTTATGGTTCAACACTAAATTCTAAACAGAATTCGAAATGCGTTCTGGGAAGGTTTATTTTTTAAACCTGAATATCTTTTGGCGGACAATTTTTATTTATAAACTGCAGTCAAGGAATTTGTATAATATACACGAGAACATTTACCCTGCTCGGTTAATTTTCAAATTGTTCGTTTCAAATTGTGGAATATTTCTCGGCTCAAAAGCAATGGAATTTCTATATATGCACAACTGTTACGATCCTGATTATTTTCGGATCAGTAAACAAGACCGATTCCTTGAAGGATAAACCGAAAATTACGTTCTTGTCCGCAGAATAAATATGAATTTCGTTTTAATTAAAACTAATTATTATTTTTTAAACGAAATTACTCATAATTGTTACCTTAGTGCGGTGATTTGTTGTTGTTTTTTTTTTGGACAAGTACGGATGATCCTTAATTGGCCCACTAAAACCCGAGAGAAAGAAAAGTGTTCATCCTGTGTGACAAGAGGTTCCCAAAGGTCGTTAGCCTTCTTCATTCGCTTCCGTTCTTTGATCTCACGACGGCTCCAATTTCCTTCTTTTACACAGTTTTTTTTTTCCTAAACCTTATCTTGTTCCGCCAAACCAGATTTCCAAAATAGACCACAAGAATACCGCCAGAAGGAGCATAGGTAAACATTAAGCGTTATTTGCTTAAGAAGTAGTCACGGATCATTTCGTTTATTGTTATTGCACAATATTTCCTGATTAAGCGTTTTGCATTCGACGGCATTGCACGAGTCAACGTCTCGGATGTTCTAAGAACTTCTGTATCCGCACGTGAAAGATCGCAGACGAAGAGAAATAGAGCCTTTGGGAAATGATAAAATGCGGAATACAGGTACACGTCATCAATACTTTCGTGTTTACCTTCCATTAAAATAAGACTAGAATTTCGAAAAAAAAGTATTTTATCCAGGAAAACCTTTGTATGGTCTCGAGTTACGCCTAAGTATCAGCAAATACAACAGAGGAAACCGTCGTTTTGTGGAGCACCCAGTAATCCTCAAACCAAATACAGTTTGACAAAACTGAAATCATCATTTATTGAAAACGTAATTCAACTACAACGATTTTCTCTCAAAACAGTAATTATTTTTACGTTCTGATTCGTGTTAGCATCTTCGGTTTCCATATGCTCCTTTCCACCGGAAATAGCAACATAAACCATCGACTTGTTTTGTTTGTTTCGTTGAAACTACAAATATTTAGATGACAACTGCTCAGATCCAAGACAGAAGTTACGTAACGCCGAGCAATGTTAATGTTCATCTAGTCGAGCGATTTCCAATGTCCACTTCATCTAATCGACAGTACTAATTAGATCGTGACAAATCAATTGGATCGCGTATGTTTAAAACAATAGAAGTCAAATTAGAACATATGGAATTTGATTATGTAAATCACAAGTTAATTTTGATAATTTAAATGTCAATGACAAATTTCTGTCGTTATTTGATTATATCATGATAAATTGATGTTTTCTTTAAAATTATGTTGTATAAAAATTTCAAAAACTTAACAATACGTAATAAATGATTAAATAATTAAAAATCAGGTAAAAACAATATAAAAATCTGGTTCTTCAGGTACATTAGTATCATTAAGTTTTCTTATACCTAGATCTTTTGTGTTTCGCTTTTCAAGTGAGACAGCTGATGGATTGTTTCGGGTCGAAGCTTTGTGATGACCGAACAAAGATTCAAAACTTTCCGTTCATGCATTTTTAACTTCAACATCTTCGAAACAAACTTTTTGTTGGAAATAAACAAACAATAAGAAATATCACATTGCATCTTTCAGTTCTTGAAACTTGAAGAGTAAACATTATATATAATTGTCATTTACTATTTTTCTTGCATTAAAATCTAAATTATTAGAAAAACTTTTCTGAGAAATAATATTTTAAAAAAATAATCCGAATTTCAACACTATGTAAATTGACTGGTATCTAGATGGATCTAACTGAATTTGAATCGCGTCTTCTAATCTCCCATATGTCACTTGATGGATTGTATAATAATATATTTATTCGGGTCAGCTCTTTGTGATTGAATATTCTTGTAAAGTTTGAAACTTTCCTTTGGAGTTTTTCAAACAAATTTAACATCTGATACAATCAATATTGAACATAAGATTTATTCAAAAAATAACATTTTTCAATGTTTATATCAAGAATAACAATACATAATTTCAGATGTTATCATTCAATTTCAACAATCACACATTAGATTTTTGTTTTATATGTAAAAATATCCCAAGTTTTAACATTTTCCATCAGTTTTCTTGATTACATAAATGACAGGTTTTAGAGTATTTTCTTGTTTAGATCAAAACAAAGGCATTAACATGTTTGTTTGCTCTAGACAGAATATTAAATAATTTTAAAGTATTTTCTTATTTACATCAATGTCACATTGAAAAAATGTTTTAGATTTTTCTGGACAAAAGATTCTTGCAAGTATTAACAATATAACCTGTTTAAATAAATAACGATCTCGAATTGCATCACTCTTGCAAATCTCGTAATATCACTGAAGCATATTTATAAATCGTTGCCGGATTTTGCAAATCCACCGTGTATACTTTGTGCATCGGAGTGGAAGACAAAGACTCGCGTTGCATCACGCTGTATATGCCTCATCTAGATATAGAGTGTACAAACGGATTTCGCATTGCTCCCTAGCTGCGTTCTATTTATACTGGCCCCAAGTTGGCTTACGAGACGATGGAAAGTTTCTCGCAAAAAAAGAAAAATATTGTTATTAAAAGATGAGGATTTGAAAGGAGACGAAAATTATCGAGGCAAGAAGGATGAATTCTTTGTGGCGTTTGAAAAATGATGGGTCGGAGAGGTAAAACTTGGGCAGCAGCAGCAGCTGACAGCACAAAGAAAAAAGTTGGAGCAGAAGAAGAGGTTTTGGAGGAGGGAACGGAAAATATCGAATCCCCTCTGATCTTATCTATCATCTTTACCGTTCCCGTTCCCTCTTTGCCAAACTTTCTCTGTGCGCGCACAACAATAAAACCGCATCCGGCCAGGTATGTCGAGGTGGCCGACTACCTAGGTTTCCCTTCACTACAACGCGTCTGGGCTACTGTAAATAACACGCACACCAGAATGAATACATGTACAATGCAAGAGGAATGAGAGAAGAAGTAAAGGAGGAGAAGAAGAGGTTTGAAGGCGGAGGTGGAAGAGAAGGCGGAGAGGATAAGGAGGCATCCCACGCAAAGCGTCGGGCAAAAAATAAAAGGAGATATCAGGGAATTATTTATAAAGCGTTACGAAAATAGAATTAGATGGGGAACGGTTGTATGTATGTGTTTCTGTTTCGGCTTATGGACGGATGGATGGAAGCGCACACACACAGCACACAGAATATGATTGAAGAGTGAATGACCAATGGAATAGAGCACACGGCACTCACTTATACACACACACAACACAAATATATATATAGTAAAACTCAAATACATACAGCATACATGTACAACGATCTAAACACTACCTCTATTGCCAGAGGAATAGCTACGTACGTAGGTAAAATGAATCACTCACCACAATAGAGAGACACGTCATTATCTTCCTAGATAACTCCTTATCGAACGTGGAGGTATTCCCATCGTCGTTGGGCAGAGATAAACAAATGCGACACAACTGATAGAACTTTGGCGGTACACTACACATATTTAAATTAGGTGGCAAAACAAACGAACACGGGAAGCGAAAGTAAAAATCGAACGAAATAATGATAATAATAGAGGACGAAAATTCGCAGCAAACAATAATAGAAACGGAAGCAACCCTTTCCCGGAAACTATTCAACAGATGCAGTAAGAACAACAAAAAACAATAACAACAAAACGCACTCGTAGAGGTCTGATCGCACTGGATGAACACATTTATTATTATTATTTGTTACATCTGCGATGGTCGGTGTTTATCCACGGACGAGAAGAAATGGGCAAGGGTTGTCGTCGTCTCGTACACCCCTCCTCCTTCGCGTATCCTCTCTTATTTATACTTTGTGATATGGGTGTACATATATTTATGTATATATATATCTTTGTAGTATATATAAATAATGTGCGATGGTCGTCTGCATCCAGCAGGGGCCCCCAGAGGTTGCTCTTTCTTCAAACTCGGTGCTTCTTCGGATCGGAGAAGACTCTGCTCTTCTTCTCGTGTTGTTTACGTCGTTGTTTGCAGACGAAGAGTCATTTCGTTTCGGTATGGTCAGATGGCCGCCGCACTCTCAACGCTCTCGGCATATACAATAAATTAAGGCACTGCCATGGCCACCTTGATTACAAAAAAGAGGTGCTTTGATTAGCGAAACGGACGGACGGCGGCGGCAGGCAGGCAGACAACACTCTCTCGCCCCGTTATCACAGAACCGGGCGTCCGCACTACTCGTACAAAGATGGCGGCACGGTATCCCTTCCCTCTTTATCTCGCACTCTTTCTCTATCACCAATTGTCGTCACTATCACAACAACAACCTCACTGCTCTCCACCTGGCATATCACTGCTTCGCTTTTACTCTCCTCCTCCTCTTCATACGTGCGACCCGCTCGAACCCAACACACGAACTGCTTCTACCACTTCTACTACTACCAATGGTCGATTGCCGAAGACCCGTATTCTTCCTCTACCAGATGGGACGAGCTCCTTCGTACCTAATCACTGCAACACGCGTTACGCAAAAGGCGTAATTTGCGAGTTACGAAAAATGCATGTGCATGTTTGCGCTCGTAATTGCAATCGATATAGCTAAGCTTTTCCTCTGTTCTGCTTCTTTTTTTTTTAATTGCTTTTACCATTTCACTTAACCTAGATGCTTGACAAAAGCGTTGCGAACGTCAATACTAACAAAATAGCAGGATCATCGATCATCTTACATCATCATCTCAAGAATGCAACATCAATACGCGCTCGAAAATTTTCTTTCATTACAAATGCTTGTATTTGCTAGATTGTTATATTACTGTCATAGTAACTGTATTTAAAGTTAATGGAATAATTGTGAATCAAAATTAATACAAGTTCCATCAGGAAACTATTTGAATTTGTAATTATTGTAATTGTAATCTTACTCTGTCCATGAATTAGAACTTTATTGTACCTTAACACTACGTAAAGTAAAGCTTGGTGAACTTCGTATTAAATCACAATTGTTAATAAAAATACGCGCAATATACCACATTTTGTACATGCCTAGCAGGGCATTATTATAATTTTCTAGAAAATGTACACTTTGGTATATCAAGGGATGAATCTTGATAAGCCATACCATCCGCTGTTGATTCAGTTCACGTTGTCTGATTCAGTTGTTGGTTGTAGAAATTTAGGAATATTTGCCCGCTAAAAGATTTAATGTATTCATTGTACATGATTCAATTTAACGAATGATGTCTCAAAAGATTATATTAATAAACGATCATTGTCAGTGATCATCACCGCAGCAACAAAACAATCTTGCTCATGCATATATTTGTCATTAATCCAACCGCAAAAGATACAATGTTTAAATATAAATCTGCTAATAGTGAAAAAATAGTTAATTAAGAAACATAATTGCGCATAAATGATTAAAATGATCTATATAATGAATATTACTAAAAGTTTCTTTAGTAACTTTAAGTAAAATTCATCATAAAACATAGTTTTGTTAAGAGCTGTTTTCTTATGTACATTATAAGTAAATGATAGCTTTAATAATGTCATGAAGTTAACTCTAGCTTCTTCTATTAATTATCTTAGTAATTTGATATAAAATTATTATTAATATTTTGCTACAGAGAATATTAAATGTCTGTCGATTAGAACGGTTTTGAGAATACGAACACCTGGATTCTGGAACTCCGTTACGTTCACTGTAGGAAACAGGTGTATATTGTAAATATATAAGAATGTTACATCAATTTCGTAGCTATGTGTTAACGGTTACAAACAATAAAAAGAAATAAACTTTTCAACACTTTTGATTGCACATAAATAAAATTAAACATATTAATACATTAAATATTGCAGGTAAAAGTATAATTTGAATAAATACGCTTAAGGGAAACTATTGATCTAGATTTATTAAGAAATTAACATATTAATGATTAGATATTTCCAATTAAAACATTAATTACTCTTTCAAAACGAAACAGCGCTAAATCTGCTGAACTATAATCTTGACTTACTTGTCGATAGATGGAGCTAATCTATATATAATTTGCTAGAACATTAATTTTAATTTACTGTAGTATTACAATGGTACAATAATATTTATATTGTTCTATTTAATAGTTTGTTGTAATGCTTATAATATAATTAAGGTAAATCTACCTTTAATTAATTAATTGATTGTGCAGTGTTCCCAACGTTATGAAACATGACAAACCTAAGAATGAACAATGATCTGAAATTTCCTTCTGTTGTGGCTTACGTAATGTTATGTATTGGAATTAAATTATTGTTAAATCTTGTGTAATTGAAGGTTTTACATAATATAAAGGTTGTTAATAGATTTAAAAAGTTTCGAAATTTGATTAAATTGTGACGTAAATGACATTTCCAGAGGAGCGTGGATGACTCATACCTAAAATTAGTATACTGTTGTTGTGATTCCTGGAAGAACAAAAGAAACCACTTTCCAGTGAAAAGAGCGTGCATTTATTGGGAAAAACGATTATTCAAAATTTATAAAACGATCAACCACCTTACGATCGCATACACACATCTTTCAACGAGGTGAGTCACATACAAATAAACTGTTTCAGTGTTCCTCCTTGGACAATTAGATAATATTAGTAAATCTATTGATGTCAAGGGAGTGTTTTCATTGGAAGACAATTGTATTATCTGAAATATTATTATTTGTTATATAAAAGTAAACTGAAACAAAGCATTTCTAGATTTTAATGGAAATTTCAGACACCACCTACTACTTCCTATTGGCTTTGGTGATTATACCAGTGAAATTATTCTTTGACCTGTGGGCTTGGCTCGGCTGGGATCTCTACAAGAACAACTAACCTTAGCCATGTCAAATTTCAATGAGGGAAAGCCAGTCCTGAAGAGACCTCTTACATTAGACTTCAGTAAGCATAAGATGATCACACCTCATCCAGTGTTGTCTTCCCCCGATCTTAACATGCTGAAGGTTGGCACCCCAGAGTTAGAGAAAATAATCTTGAATAGTGGGAGCATGAACACTCCTACCCCATCTGCAGTCGACAGCTCACTCCTGTACTCGAGAACAGTAACAGAAGAGCAAGAGAGTTTCTCAGCTGGTTTTGAGGATGCTCTGAAAAACTTGCACAATAATAACTCACAAGGTACAGTTGGTCAGAACATTAACATTATATATTTATCACTAATGTAGATCTATATTCAGCTTCAGATTCAAGTAATACTGTCTACACAGACATGGAGCAGCCCATTGGGAATTTCATTCCAACAATCAAAGAGGAACCTCAGACAGTGCCAAATATCAATAACGGATCTCCGCCAGTGTCGCCAGTCGATATGGAATACCAAGAGAAGATCAAATTGGAACGCAAGAGGCAGCGGAACCGTCTTGCAGCATCCAAGTGCAGATCGCGAAAGCTCGAGAAGATCTCCAAATTGGAGGATAAGGTGAAGCATTTGAAGACGGAGAACTCGGAGCTAGGAGGTATGGTTAACCAGTTGCGGGAGCACGTGAACTCTTTGAAAATCGAAGTACTTCAGCACGTGAACAACGGTTGCCAGATCATGGCCTTAGAATGAGCGATGCACTCAGTTATTATATTTGATGCCATTACCATTAATTTTTTTTTACATAATTTTATAATAACGAAACAGTAACAATCTAACCAATCGAACACTTGATGCGCAATCAAGGAGAAAAAAAAATGCAAGTTGTGATATAATAGGACACCTATTAAGAGAATTGACGAAGAAAGTGAAATGCGAAGCGACTTTCCAGTATTAAATAGATTTTTCATTTGCAAAAATACAATAGGGTGAAAACTAATCAACTCTAATACACGAAATTAGATTGTTACGATTTGTAAGTATTTATTATTTAGTCGAGAGTGAGAGTCGAAGAAACGATACGCGAGTGCTTTATATTTGTATAATAAGATTATAAATTTTATAATATATATATATAGATATATTTTATATAAATCAACAGTAATAGATAAGTCCTTTATAATATATATATATATTATTACGAATGTAATTAATAAATTTTATCTTTCAAATATCACAAAATTCTTTAAATTCTAATTAATTTAAATTTTGTTTTATCAGACTATCATCAGTCTTTACATCAAATCATCATATTGTTATTTACTAAATAAAAGCATTGTTTATATCTCCTTGGAAACTAACAATTCCTCGACGCCCATTTGGCCCCGATGTCTCCAAACCCTGTATCTCGCCAAATCCTTGCGCGTCACCATTCCGATTACTTCATTCCTATCGTTGACTATTGGTAAATGCCTTAAACCTAAAGCCCTGAACAATCGGAACATTCTGGGAAGCGAAGCCGACTGTTCAATTTAAAAAAAATACAAGCAATTTCTGTAAAATATCAAATCTGTATGTCGTTTCACTTACGTGTAATACCGTGTACGGAGATGGATTCATATACGGCCTGAGATCAACCGAATACGTCTTCTCCATCTCGCTCAAATCCAATTTCTAAAAAACGGGATCATTATTTTTTTTGCATCGCTGCAGTTCTGATAAGACTTACGTCAACGGTTGGATATCTAGGGTATTCATCCCTAAAGATGTTCGCATTTATGTTGGACCAACTGTCGGAGGTTTCGTTGAAGATCTTGTTTTGCAGGAGAACAATCAGCTGCGATCTCAATATCAATCCTCTGAGTTTACCGTAGATTGTAACTTCATCCTGAAGGATACATGATACAGATTCAAACTATCAAGATTATTTCGTATAGTTACATTATTTAATATAGGTGGATCGACAACCGGGAAACCATTGTAAGAAGTATCTTTCAATAATTGCGCTATGTAACCAACGTTTTCCACGTTCTTCAAACTGGCAATTGGATGCGACATGACTTCGCTCGCGTAGATGTTGTGTGACAATGGTGGTGGGTCCCAGGACAAGAAGGGGACACCGCTTAGTTGTATGTGTATATCATAAATACCCTAAAAGCTAAGAATTAGGTACATTATTAACAGCAGTAACAGCGTACATCGTTGAAGTAATCTCCTGTCCATTTGGCTGCCATCAAGGTGACAATCAATGGTAGACCGAAGGAAATGTTATCCGTGGTTTCCATGATGATTACAGTTAAACTTATTGTCATACGCACTAGACCTCCAAGCTGCGCTGCAGCTCCAATTAGTGCGTACTTTCCTGGATGGATCAACGCCTAAACGTTAATTATACAGTTAGATTATAGTACAAATTTTGGTTGAAGAAATAGAAACCTTATTTGGATAAATATAAAATAAACCAACGGATAGGAGCCTTCCCCAAGCTGCGCCGGTGAGTAAAGAAGGTATGAATAAACCGTTGGAGGTGGACAAACCGAAGGTCCAGCAGGACAAGAAGAAATATACTATCACGAAGTAAAATAGGGAGGCGACGTTGTGGGTATTCGGAGGATCGTGGAACAAAGACCTCACCGAAGCCTCCGGCGTCTGGAACCAAATACTGGCCAAGACGTTGTACTGACCATCTCCGCAATACACCTGAGTAGGAAATTTGGTAGGATCTTGACCCAGAGGTTTGCAATCGTTCAGCAGGTAAATCATGAGGAATCCTGCGGTCGCCGTCATCGTGGCTACCAAACACGCCTCCATTACTTTCAACCATGGCTTTTGCAAATACCTGCAATGATTACGTGAGTTCTTCAAAAATCTTATAACTAGAGTCAGTTGCATCATATACCTAATCCTAAATACTGCTAATTTGTAATTTATACTATTCCATAAGGCACCCAGGAGTCCGCCGAAAGCTCCGAAGAGCGCGAACACCGGTAACTCGTAAAGCGAATAAGAAAACTCCTCGAAATGGCCCAGATTGAACAATCCAGGAAACAAGAGGTTTCCGAATTCGCCGTAATACATGGACAGGACAAAGTTCAACGTGAACGTGCTCACCACAGACGCGAAGAATATTCTCCATGTAAGACTCTGATTCCAAAAACTGGCGCCTTCCTCCAAACTGAACAATACACCACCTTCGTAAGTAAAATATATTAAAAAAAAACTCGACGATTGCTTAAGGACAATGATTATTTACCGACTGGAGCTCCGAAAGCGGCCGACACTCCGGCTGCGGCGCCACCCGACACGAAATCGCGCTTCTCCTGATCTTCCCTGAAATACCTGAAAATGTGAAGATCACTCTTGAACGTAGTGCTTTTTCCTTGAGAGATTCCTGCGGCAACTGCAGCTCCCACGTGAATCATTGGTCCTTCCTTGAAACAAAACCAACAATTTTATAATGCATTTAGAAACGATTTTACTATACCTTTCCTCCGGCCAATCCACCAACTACAGAGCAAACTACGCCCACAGCTTTGGCTATCAATGTTTTAATCCTAACAACTCGCGGTATTTTAACTCCGTTCAAGTAGCACTTGACTTGAGGTATTCCACTACCAGCTGCTACAGGCTATATAAAAAGAATGATATAATTAACGTTTTCACTCAAAAATACTAGACTGACCTCCCAATAAGCAACTAAAACTGACCCGATAAAAACAGGAATAATGTTAAAACCTATCCAGTACAAATACGGTACGTAAAGTTGACCTCTAATCACATAGTTATCAACATCTAAATTATGTTAAGGTACATGATTATATTTGATTTTTTTTTTGTGAAATTAAAATTCTTAGTTAAGGATACAATCGCTCAGAAAACCGTACTTCAATTGGCAAAGCGTATCGATGGAAATATCGATGAGACAGGCAATGAGCGCTGTAATCATTCCGATAAACAAGAAAATCGTCCATTTTGCGGTTATTTTCCTAACAATGAACTTGTAACCTTTCTTTCTCTCCTCGTCAAGCAGTAAATAATTCTCGCAAGTGTCATAATCCAAACTCTGTAACGCAAAGAGATAAGTGTAATCACAGTAATTAATTGTTTGCATGCATAATTAATTATTAATTAATTGCTTATAATAAACCACTTCTGATACCTCATATTTGGTAGATAAAACATTCAGAGATCCAGCATTTACAGTTAGCTTTTTGTTTAACCTTGATCTCAGGGATGATAACAAACTTGGATTTTCAACTTCCGTTATGATTTCTTCATTACCTTGTATCAATGCAGTATTCTGTACAAAAAAAATGCAATCAATTTGAATATTTTACACTATCTTAATTAATATATTAAGAAACATACAATGAAATCTGGATTGGATGTTGTCTCTTCATCCTCATCATCAGCATCATTATCATCATTGGGCACTAAAACCTGAATATCATCCATGGCACCAAAAACATTTACTATGAAAGTAGTGAATCAGTGTGCTGACTGCAGTTAAAATGTTTTATATTTCTTTGTTATGTATATCCAATGTACTCCATACCATTAGTCATTGAAATTGCTCTGTGACATCACACAGTTTACACTTATTCATAGATAGATTACAGAGTCAGAAACTTCCTCTTCTGAAATAATCTTTAGCTATTATAACCTAAATGCGACAATAACAAACACTGCAAGAACAATTGGGTCACTAGGTTGATCATAATTATTGAATATTTTTTTTTTGGTTACCTTGAAAAACAAACAATAACAGCGTTGAACCACACCAACGTGCATGCATTGCACAATATGCAATTACAATATTACATTATCCCAAGTGTTTGATATTTACTGTCTGCTGCAAAACAGATTTTACAGTTGCGACCTCGATACATTTAGACCTTTGATTCTCCAACTGCGAACAAGTATTAAAACTTATTAGAAATTGTTTTCGTATTTATTCATTCTCAATATTGAACGAGATTAAAGCAATAATTTGTTATATAGGCATACAAACATACAGAAATTTCATTCGAGTTGTGAACATGGGCATTAATAATAAGATAACTTATTACAGAGTGGTTATACATGAACCAACATTAACATTTATTAAATTAATATTATATATGTATCAATTAATGCAACTTTATTTTTAACAATATCATTTAGCTAAAAATTATAAATATGAAAATCAACTAAACTAGAAACAGTTAAAATAAAATAGAATATGGACCATGATGCTCAAGTTTTCTTCTTGCTAATTTCCGTCAATCTATAAGAAGAAAAAAATTATATGTTATTGAACATTTTTATATTTAATAGTTACTCTGTGTATGTTAGGTTTCGTATCTCATTTGCTTTCATAAAGATATCATAGTTCTTTTCCAACAACTGACGTATCTCGACGACCATCAACGAATCCATACCAAGTTCTGCAAGAGTGCTATTAGGACTGATTGTCTTAAGATCTCTAAGACTAAAAAAATTGAAAACATCGACGACAAGACTTTGCGTCATGTCGTCCTTCTTTTCTGGCAGCACAAAACTGGAAACAATAGGATCGTTTTGCAGCAGCAAGTCATTAATAACTTCCAAGCAACTACAAATTCGCTGCTGGATAGTACCAGCTACAACAACATCCTCGTACGACTTCTGCAAACGAGTTACAAGTCCGACATCTCCAATTGCACCCCATTGGATAGCTAAACCAGGGAATCCATCTTTGTGTCTCATCTCACATATCCTTTCCATTGCCGAATTGGCCATACCATAATTTGTCTGACCCATGTTACCTTTTCCGCTGACAATTGAAGAAAATACCACGAAATGTTTTAACGTCTTTGAGGACCTGGTGATCTTGTCGAAATGCTTTGTGGCCGTAGCTTTCATTGACATTGCGGACTTGAAGCTTTCTGCAGTTTGGTTTTCCAACATACCATCTGTTAATACAGCGGCCAAATTAAAAAATCCGTACACCGGAGCTACCTTTTCAGCTTTAGTCATCAATTTATTACATTCATCATAAATAGAGATGTCTTCGAGTGCAATGATTACATTAACTCCGTACGATTCCCAAATCCTAAAATCGAATATAAATTATAAATTAAAAAAAAGTTTCAAATAACTTACTTAATTCTGTTTTGCTGATAACCAGTTTTTACACCGGTTCTTGAAGATATTATTAAAGTCTTTGCGCCGCGTAGAACCAGCCAATCTGCCAATTCTAAACCAAAACCACCTAAACCACCTACTATTATATAAGAACCAGTCGGTTCACAATAGAATCTAAAAAAATAACACTTATTACAACCAATTTTTGATTATTTCTTGCTATATTACCTTGGTAAAACTATCTTAGTTTCTTCGTTTTTACCAGGAGAAGAAATCTCTTCTCTAATTTTTATTAGTACTTTGCCAATGTGTTTACCAGTAGACATGTACTTAAATGATTGCTCCAACCTTGATTTTTCAAAAATCGTCCTTATCAGAGGTTTAACATATCCATCGTTGATTCCATCCTGCATCAAATTATACAGATATCTTTTCACATCATTTGTACCCACAAAAAAAGCATCCACCATGATCCCATGGAATGTGCATCCTTTAGACACTAGATCCAAAGCCAAACTGCTGTTGCGCGCCAAATCGAACTTGCCAATCTCTAAGAAGCAACCACCTGCAGATAAACACCGAACGGAAGCCTCAAGCTTCTCTTCAGCCAAAGAATTTAGCACTAGATCAACACCTCGTCCACCGGTATTACTCATAACCATCTGCTCGAACGTTGTATTTCGTGAATTGCCGATGTGCGTTTCTTTCAAGAACGGGTAATGTCGAAGGAGAAATTGTTTCTTTTCTTCAGTACCGACAGTTACGAAAATTTCGCAACCCCAATGATGGGCACAGTTGATGGCCGCTTGACCGACACCGCCGGTTCCTGAATGTATCAGCACGGTTTGACCCCTTTTCACGTTTCCTCTCTAACATATTTGAAGTTAAAGAATATTTATAATTTTATCAAATTTCTTACAGATTTCATGGCTAGGATGACAGTTGCGTATACTGCAGGAACAGTGGCCGCATCTTCCAAACTCCATCCATTTGGTACGTTCCACGTCAATACTGGATCACTTTCTATTATATTCGAAATAGCACCGCCAACTAGAAAACCCATTACTCTTGTTCCACTAAAATTAAATCAATTATGTAATAATTATTATGCTATTTTAAGTTTTCCCATACTCGGCTTTTTTTCCGGAATATTCTAGGCCGTGGATGTTGCCTTGATCAATTCTCTTCTTCGTCACAGCGTCAAATGATAATTTACCAGAAGCCGTCATCACATCTCTAAAGTTAATAGCAGAATAATAAATCTGTAAGTTAAATAATTAATAAAAATGTATGATGTTTAGTTCCATTTTCATACTTCTACGAATTTATTACTATTTAATATTTGATGACTTTTAATTGATCCTTCTAACCAAGCCAAAGTCGAAAGATCTCCAATGTTTAGCACATTTGCGTAGTAATGATCGCACTTTTCAAATTCTAATTTTTCTGCATATGTTAATAACATATGTCTGTATGTGCCCCAAGTGCTTCCTCTCAATACGTTAAACGCAAGGCCCTTCTTCAATTGCTCTTTAAAAAACTCACTTTTTTCATTAAATTTTCTTCCTTTCTGTATGAAAATGCAGGATACATTCTTTTTACCATCTTCGCACCTCAAGCAGTTAACCAAACCTAAAATACCATTGGTCGGATCTTTATCAGAATAAAGCAAGATTTTCTTCGAGGACTTCAAACTGTTTTGCACTTGTGGTAGCCAATTCTCATAATCATCGTTTACTTCTATGTAAATAGGTACTTGATATTGTTTAGTTATTTTTATTAGATGGATAAATACCCCTGATGGTAATTTGTATTTAGTCAATACAGTTAAGTGTTTGTTTAGAGGAGCCTCCACTTTATCGATGGACATTATGTAACCTTCTTTAATTATATAAGTTAAAGCTCTTTGCATACTTTCAAAGTATCTTAACAAATTATATCCGATGCAAATCAACGCGCTTTGTTCTTCTGGAGGTTTATCTGTAATTTGAACACCGTTGATGTTATCGAGTTTCTTTAGGGAATAGATTGTTATATTTGCACGAACTTTAATTATATTATTTAGAATTTCTTTAAGATGAATTGCAAAAGGTTGTAAATTGGATGTTTTGGCATCAAAAATCTCCAAAACATTTACATTTACCATTGAAATATTTTCTAATATGATCTGCATGTTAACTATCAATGATTCCTCCAGACTCAAACTTGACTCATTTGGTATAAACTTGTACGTCTCCAATGTGGGATCGTTTTGTGTTTTCCTCTTTATAGTGATCTTATCATACAAAGATGTTATTTCTACATTTTTTGACCTGGCAATATTGTAATTAATTTCCACAGGTATAGCATTTTCTTTGCCTAAATCTTTGATTTGCTCCATATGTCCTTTGGCATCGATGATAAGTTTACCCAATCCTATAGGTATATATATGTTTCTAGTATCCTGTTGTAGTGCCATGAACTGCAATATGTTGTCCAAAAAAGTAACCCAATTTTCAGTCCATTCAATAAAAGCCTTATTTCCAATCATTTTTTGCAATCCTCTGAATTGGTCTCTGGTTAAATGTATTGTTTATAGATATTTAAAACTTTTAACACTATTAAAATTAATACTT